TATTGTCCTTCCTTCAACCGATCGTATTTAATATAGAAGGGAAATGTTTCGACAAGCCTGATTAGAAATGAACACTTCCAGAGATATGCAGATGGAAAATTCGGTTTATTTGGGAGGTGCCACGCCCTCTTTTCCAATAACCACAATTTTTTCCCTTGAGTATGCGACTGTTTTCATGTATCTCCATACCATGTTCGAGTACTCTACCATGAATACTTCCAGAGATATGCAATATGAAATATTCGGTTTTTATGGGAGGTCCCACGCCCCCTACACCTAGCGGTACGAAATATACTTTACATCCGATTCCCATACCTACAAATATACACAAAAAATTTCATAAAGATCGGTCAAGCCGTTTCGGAGGATTTCGACCGAACACCGTGACACGAGATTTTTATATATTAGATTTTTACTTAAGTTTTCATTGCATAATTACGTTAACTTAGTAAAAATAAAGCTCTTTGTTACATTTGCAGATTTTTTTTGGTGTATCGATTAGCTTTCAACTCATGCGCAAAATGTGATTACGTAAGTGTGCTTATGAGTTGGACGTAGCTGATTTAGGGTATTGGTCCGGCTTCCAATGAACCTATATGTATATATAATTTTTTTTAGTTGTTCGTAGTTGCCAGGAGAAGGTTTTACGAACGAAATTTTTTGTGCAATTCCTTAGGAACGTCTTTCGAATGGAAAAATAGAAAATTCTAAGTGGAAAACTCGGAAAAATGCGAAAGAACGCGAAAAATTTGAGTTTTTTTCGACGAAACTTTGCATTTTATCGCATGATTTGATGATTTTGAACGATGTAAAGGTGGAAAATTCGTTGTGAAGCTTGGAAAATTTCGGATAATTGTGAAATTCATTGAATCTATTGGGAACAATTTTCTCCTATGTTTCATAACCGATTCGAATGGTTGCTGCTTTTTTGGAAAGGTGTTTAGAAGTAGGAGTGCACAAAGTCTTCATTTTTGCGATACGTGGCGCAGGGGTCGAGCTACGCTAAAAAATGCATTGGTACGTAGGTAGCTTATTGTCATATAGGATATTTTTTCTGATAGGTGGACCAGATACACATCTATTGGAAAAATCTTATTTATGGCGCGACTTGCTTGAAATTCGGCACGTAGGTAGCTTATTGTCTGGGTTAACATATAGCAGGGTTGGGCATTTTTGCACTACCACTGAATTGCACTATCACTGTTTATTGAGTGATAGTTAAAATGCAGAATTCATTATCACTGGAAATTTAGTGATAGTGAAAAACAAATTGCATTATCACTAAATCTTTAGTGATAGTTAGAAAAGACTCACTATCACTAAACTTTTAGTGAAACTAGCCAAGCGAAGATAGCCAATTTACATGTGTAAATGGAAAACGCCAATCCAAAGTTACGTTATTTGTACCCAAGTTTAAAGTAATAAAAACTCCAAAAAAGCACAAAAGTGTAACGCTGTTACTCTTAGGGCCGTTTTCTCAAGTAACCTGTCACTTTAAACCTCACTTTATATTTAAAGGTTGCATTAAAATTTATAATTATGTCTAAAATAAAGAATTTTATTATCGGTTTTAAATTGGTTTACAACCAAGAAACATACATACGTCAAAAACCGATAATAGAAATGCTCAACTTTAGACATAGCTTTATTTTTAATCCAACCTTTAAATATAAAGTGAGCTTTAAAGTTAAAAGTTACTTCAGAAAACGGCCCTTAGTATTAATACATGTCGTTGTTGCTAATTGAAAGGGTAGAAGCAATGCGGTTCAATATTAACTTATGCTATGCATGTACTAATAGGTAGGTGCATGTACTTGTAGGTATGTTCGCTATTCTACATAAATAAGGATAGTGATTAAAAGAGATGGTTGCAAACAATGTAAGAATATTGAATATTAGTTTAGGAAAATGTTATGTACATATGTATGTTGGTATGAATTTTCATTTTCAAGTACATTTATGCGAAAGAGTGATAAAACAAAGTGGGGACATTTTAATGAGCGCTTATCTTAGCAGTGAAGTTGCACATATGTATGTACCATGTGCAACTTCACTGGCTTATAATGAAAAGCTACCAAGTCTAATTTTTAGCAAGTGTCCTACAAAGTTATGAGGTCATATTGATATACATTTTCTTAGCAATCACAACACAATTGAAAATGTCTAGAGATTTATGACTATGACAATTGCTGTATTTTTTGTAAACGAGCGAAAAAAGAACGCTCAACTCGGATAAAATTTCCTTTTAGCTACTTAAGCAACCCTGCTGGTAGCTGGCAAGAAACATGTGATTAGTTTAACGGGATTTAGACACAAAAAACAATAGAGATTAGTTATTATGCGAGGTATTTGCGTAATATATATACTTATTTAAAAAATAAATCATGTATGTACGAAAACAAAAAATTCCCTCTCCAATTTCCCAGTAATAATTCACAATAGAGCAGTTTTTTCACTTAACAACACTACTCTTCAGGTAGCGTATTTTTTAACCGACCTGGCTGAACTCGGATAAATAGCCGAGTTTGTGTTGTTGCTTTGCGTGTATTTCGTTATTTAAGCGAGTGTTCTTTTGTAGCTCGATTGCAAAAGAATGGGCCTAATATGGCAGTTATGACACCTTGTAAATTACCAAATTGTTTTTATCTCTTCTTTAATATTTTAAAAATTGTACTTAGCAGCGTGTTACTCTAAGCCGACGATATGTAAGCATGCATATGTGAGTATATACGTAAACTACCCAATTTGTCTAAGTGGGCAAAAATCGAAAAATTCGTTATCTGCAATGTGAACTTGTTTGGTTTTTTTGTAAAGACAATTTATCCACTAAAAAGAATTAAACAGACATTTCCCTAAAAAATTAATTATATGCCGCCAGGAAGCCGTTAAAGTCGACAAATTTTATACTAAGGATTTTAATAAGAGCATAGCCATGTCAAAAATATATTCTTTGAAATAAAATGTTGGTTTGACGCTTCTTGTTTCCATATAGATAGTAGAGAATTACAGGAATTAAAATTTTGGAATAAAATTAAACACAGGGTGTCCCTGCGGTATTCCAAAACAACAATTTTTTTAAACAAAATTTCAACAAATGCTAAATTTTATTGGAATGAATAAAAAATATATGTAAAAATAGGTTATTTTTTATTATTTTATTAAATAGTACGGGTTTTTAGCTTTCAAAAGAAAAAATAAAAACCTGCTAATTTTTTGCACTTTCTGAAGTAACGCGTTTTTCGCTAATGCATAAAATAATTTCTTCATTTTTTGTCTGTGCCTTGAGATCTGCACGATTCGTTTCATTTTCAAAAATGCAGTGTCAGATTAAAAAGCTTGACCTGTAGACAATAGAAGGTTTATTTTCTTTTAAAGAGTTGCCACCTGTTCAAAAATTAGATTATTAAAAAATTTTATTAAATTTCTTTTATAAGTTAAATGAATTGTTAGGAGATGGGTATCAATCGAAGTGTGTATTAACTACATGCAGCGAGTTGTCACCTGTTTAAAAGATCAAATTCAACTTGAAGTAAAGGAATGAGGTAGTTTAAAAAGATAGGTATCACCATAAGGGGGTCAGACGAAAGAGGTTTAAGAAGATTTTAGCTTAAAAATATTACGAATAGGGTTGCCACCTGTTTGTAAAGTCGAATTTAGTTAAATTAAAATAATAATTACGTCAAACCATAGGATTACGCCATCCTATTTGTTATTTTATATAAATACATACATTGTCAATCAGTGATTTGTCCTGATTACATTCCTTTTAAATTACTGGACTCTTAAATTAACTCAGGAATATTTTTACTCTTCACTTATTTCTTTCTAAATATGTCGAAATTTTTCATTTTTCTGATACTCATATTGTTATACATACTTCAGTTACTTTATTCCCTTAATTAAAGTGAATTTAATTTTTAAAACATGTGGTAGCCCTTTTACGTGCCGTTTAGAAGAAAAATATTTTCAAAACTAGTTCAATTGATACCCATATTGTAATATCCAATTCATTTGGCTTATTAAATAATTTTAATAAAATTTGTAACTGGTGGCAACCTTTTTCAAAAACAAAAATCTTTATTGCACATCCACAGGCCAAGCCCTGTCATTTGACACCTCACTTTTGAAAATAAAACGAACTATATGTACATACCTATGTAAAAGCCACAAGAACCCAAATTTTCAACTTCAAACTGCATTTACAGTGAAAGTGGAAAAGCTATCCAAAAACAAATTGCATACTTGAGTTTAGCGTCCTTAATTTTACTAAGAAGTGAATTTTTGTTTAAATCCGTCCATAATTCTATTTTTGCCCACAATTTATATGGAAGGGAAGCACTGTGCGACGTCGTTTCCGACTCATTAAAAAATTTGTTCGTAACGACGTCGATTCTAACACGTCCTCGCTCCGTGGTAAATTGGGTAGTTCTGCGGGAGTATTATACGTAAGTGTTAGTACAATTAAGTTTACGCTACTGCAATGGAGTTATTGAAATGTAATATTTAAGTGAGCACTGTTTTTGGATCAGTACCGCCTTGCGTTACAAGATGGAACTCATTGTATGATTCGGTTCAGAAGTTAATAGAAGTCAAAAACAGATTAGGTGAACTATGCTATAAGCTGGAAATTTCTACTTTCAATGAGGAAGAAATTGAGTATTTGGAAGAATATGCAAAAGTAATGCAACCTATCGCAGAAGCCATCGACTTCCTTCAAAGAGAACAAAATATGTTCTTTGGTTACTTTATTCCAACTTTACTGTCCATCAAAATAAAAATGCGACGTTTAGCTTCCGAAAACTTAAATATTTGACGGAAACTAATATTCAAATGCAATCAAAGCTAATGCAAAGGTTTTAAAAATATTTTAGTTTGCACTCTGACTCTTGGGATGCAGTTATTGCAGCAATTCTCATTCCTGATATCAAACTAAAATTTTGCAAAACTTTGCTGGAAAGTGCTGAATCCCACACTCTAGAAGATGTTCGGGATAAATTTAAAGAATATGCGATGAAGTTTAAAAGACAACCGGAAGGGGAAGATAATAATTTACAGCCTTCCATAAGTGCTAATACATCATTTCTCGAATTCGATGAGGAGTCTACAGGTATTTGATTAAAAGAAACCAACCTGCAAAAGTTTTGTAAATAATTTGCTTTTTTAGATGAAAATCGGTATACATGTTGCCATGGCGGAGCTATAACAACTGAAGTCGTTTTGTACCTGAATGACGAGGATAGGAGCATTGAAGCTTTGCATCGCTTTCCTACTGTAAAAAAAATGTTTGTAAAATATAATACACCTCTTCCTTCATCTGCGCCAGTGGAAAAACTTTTTTCCTTTGCTGGGATTGTCAATCGATCGACAAGGCAAAATCTTTCTGACCATAACTTTGAAATGTTGGTACTAAAAAAGGCAAATAAAAAATGAATTATGTCTCTTCTAAAGAATATTGTTTATTTTGAATATATTCCCCCTTATTCTAGAAGTCGAATTTTCGTAATTCGTAATAAAAATCCATATGCTGCACCCCTTGCGGAAACATGTGCAGCATTGCCAGCTATCAGTTGTTTTTCGAAGATAGCTTAATGAAGGAAAACAAAGTGGAAAGGAATTAATAAAACACCCATGAAGTGCTTATTTATAGAAAAATTGTTGACTTAACATATTTTTAAGGAAACGAGGGATTCTATTGCATTTGCAATTGTAGCAGTGGAGTAAGAGCGCGCTATGGGAATGATTTCACAAAGATATGCGGAGCTGTCGGGTATAGTAACCATGGGCGCATCTATGTCAGCTTATGGTTGAATTGTTGAACCACAAGTCAGAACTCCTCCTATGCCTGAAGAACTGGTTCTCAAACCAGTTAATGCAATCAACAACAGCTTCTTCCAAGCCATTGAAAGCATGCACTTTGTTAGGTCCACCACCAGTTGCACTTGCTTCTGCCTTTGGCCGCGCTTACTAAGTAGAATTCTCCTTTCTGTGCTGCCGGAGAAGCGGGGCTTCCGCATGTCAAAGGTATACAACACTTCTTGTGCATATCACTCCGGCTACGCCATCCACAGTATTTTTGCGCAGAACCCACATCGAAATTTTGCAAAAAAGTGCATAGTGCAAACCGGATTTATTAATAAACTAGTGGTCGAAAATTTGAAACATTTATTTTAAATTTAATTTTAATCCTTTGGTTACACGTGATGTTAAAGTGTTTGGATTCGGGTTATGCGTTTGGACACAACAACCGCAAATCATTGTACAAATAACTAAACCGGACCCAAGTTTCTTGATAACAAAGATTCTTTTGTACCAGTTTACATAAAGCAGTGGATAAAAATATACGTATATGTGAAAAGCAAATTTATTTGTTTACCACTAGTATTTCCTGCAAACACACATCGCTTTACATCTTTTATCTCGCCTCCGACACAGAATGGTTTTCGTACAAAATTACGCAAAAAAAAGCTTACTCGTTCGTTTTTAGGCATGCCATTGTTAGAAATTTCGAAATTTCGAAGATACGATTCGGATTGCAGCATACTATTTCTACGATTCGTAGCAAAATCCGAATACGAAAGAGTTGCAAAAGAGGGGTGTATTTCTTTTCACTGCTTCAGCTAATATAGTCTTACTTTATTCTTCAAGAAGAACTATGTCATAAAAATAAAGCTTGTTTACAGCCAAAAGCAATGTCATTTTACTGAAAAATTTTAATTATCAATAAAGGTTTTCACTACCACTAAATATCAAGTGGTAGTGAAAATTGTTTTTCACTGTCACTATGGGTTTAGTGATAGTGCAATTTGTTTTTAACTATCACTAAATGTTCAGTGATAGTGCATTTTTTTCACTATCACTAAAATTTTCAGTGATAATGGATTCTGCATTTTAACTATCACAGTGGTAGTGAAAAGCGTATTGCATTCATTTTTTAGTGCATTGTGCCCAACCCTGACATATAGGATATTTTTTCTAATAGGTGGACCAGATACCGATCTAATTGAAAAAATCTTATTTATGGTGCGACTTGCTTAAAATTTGGCATGTTGGTAGCTTATTGCCAGAATTAACATATAGGATACTTTTATCTGATAGGTGAACCAAGGACCGATCTATTCCAAAAAATCTTATTTATAGTCCGATTTGCTTGAAATTCGATACCCGTATTATAGATATGCGTAAAATAGAATTGAGTCATTGTTTTAGAGTTCGAAAGGTATTTAACTTCCCACTAAGGCTTAGATTAAAGCAAAAAATCTCGACTACTACCTTTGCAAATTCCTGCACCTTTGCTTGATCGTCACCTATTCATTTGTTGAACAGGAAAAACTGATTTTGGGAAGTTTGAGAATTAAGCAAAAGATGCTATAACCTTCCACTTAGGCTTAAATTAAGGCTTGAACTTCTGACTTCAATCCCTGATTCCTGCACCTTGACCATAAGGTCACCTATAGTCATTTGTTGAACAGCTAACAGTGGTTTTTGCACTTTTTTCAATTGCATAATTTTCCAGTATTTTTTTATTGTTGGGCGATAAAAAGTAAATGAGTATAGGTGACCATCACGGCAAGGTGTAGGAATAGTATTTTCAGGGATAGTAGTCTGTAGTTCTAGCTTTAATTTAAGCTTAAGCTGAAGGTTCTACCACCTTTTGTTTCCTTGCTAAAGCTTCTCAAATATTGCAAAAAACGCGATTTTCTACACTTTCACCACGTTTTTTCTCAAAATCTGGACCCGATGGAAACTTTGTACTTACGGATTCGTAATCAGCACAAAGAGTCTATCAAAAACAGTTTTAACATTTGCCGCATCAAAATCGGTGTTGCCCTATGCCCGACACTAATTATACAAAGAGAAGCTCCTTATTTTTATAAGAGGTGATAAGAGGGGTAAGAACGGCTGTACCGAATTTTGGACACCTACTGCAGACTCTCGATATATTAAGAGAGAGTGGCATCACCCATATATATCTCTGGAAATATATCTCTGGAAATATTTCTAGTAGTGTCCTGGAAATTGGTATAGAGATTTTGGGGCTAATGGAAAGGGGGGCGTGGGGCTTTCAAAACTGAAACTTTTATCCATCTGTAAATCTATACATAGTATAAAGGAGAGTCGAGATTCTTTGAACACGGTAATCTCGAAAACTACTGAACGGATTTTCTCTAATAAACTCTGTGTCGACAGGAGAGGGATCTTTTTTTACTTAGAATATTAATAGGTCAAATGAAAGGGATTGGCCTCTAGAAAAGCACTAGTATTTTCCTTTTAATAGGGTTGCCACCTGCGTAGGCATCAGTTCTGTACCGTCACTGTCAAACGAAAAGACTTTGCCTCTACATGCAATAATGTATTATTTTTCTGAGTAGGGTTGCCACCTATTAAAAAGTTAAAAGATGTTCGCCGTTCGTTGGATTACAAAATGAGATACCAAATGAAGGTGCATGGCCTTCGCATGTACAAAAACTTTTTTATTTTTTAAGTAGGGTTGCCACCTATTCAAACTTACTATTTTCTATACTTAGTATAAAGGAAAGCTGAGATATTTTTACCACGCCGCTGAACGGATTTAGACGAAATTTTTTATGTATAATTTGTATCGATGGGAATTTTATCTTTAGTACTTTTGAGTTCCTATAGGGTTACCACCTATATAAAAAATTATAAGACCCGCACTTTTCGTAGGATTACCATAAATGAGGTGTCAAATAAAATGGCTCGGCCCTTAGATGTTCAATAATGTATTACTTTTTGAGTTGGGTTGCCACCTATTTAAAAATTACTATTTCATTCGAACATGGTATGAATACAAAAAGGTAAAATGTGAAGTGAAAAGGCTTGCCCTCCAGATGTTCAATAATTTATTATTTTTTGAGTAGGGTTGCCACTTTTCATTGGACTAAAATATGAGGTATCAAGTGAAAGAATATGGTCTCCGCATAAGCTTTTATTTTTTTTAATGGGGCTGCCACCTATTTAAAAATTAATACCTACCATATAATAGGCGCTTTCTTCAAAATTCAAAAAAGCGTAAGGAGCTGATGCTTTTTTTGTTTGCATATGTGAGCATGAAAGGGCGTACGCAGCTAATCGGAAAGGGGCGAACTAATACGAACTTTATTTCACAATGCTAGTCTTCTTGGATTTGCTGCAAATGCATTTAAGATATCTTCCTCCAGCTCCCTTTGTTTCTCCTTTACTAGCTTCCTACGCGCACTTAACATACACAAACCTATAAAAATATTAATTTTTAAATAAAATTAAGTTAGCAGCTTTTCACATCTTTCTTACTCTGAATGGTTTTCCTTCATTGTAGTCCTCAACCATGTTTTAACTCTTCTTAGAGTATTAAAGGATCTCTCTACTGTTGCTGTTGTGCATGGCATTGCAAGTAGAATGTCAGTCGCTTGCCTTATTTTTGGAAAGAAGTCCAACTCGTTGTAGGCCAGAACCAAATCTGTTGGGTCTTTGTTCGGTTCTTTCCAACAATTAAACCAAAGCTGCAGCTCATGTTCAATACCTTCTAAATTATAAAGAGAAGTTGCATTCTCGATTTCAACTTTGAGAGAGAGAGAGAGTTGCTTAATTAAAAGCTGCATTGTTTTCCTCTGTAAATCTTTGCTTAATTGAAGATATTAGAGAGTCAAGATAAGGTAGGAAAATGGCTCGTCGAAGGTACTCTGATGGCGTTGTAAAAGGAGGATTCATTTTACTTGTTTGCTTTTCTGCAACTCGAGGCACGCAAATATCGTACGAAGCATTACGAGCTAATTCTTTACATTCAATTTCTTCAAATACAACGTCAGGTTTTGATCTGTGCTTTTCATTTGTGTGCAAAATTTTACTTATTTGCTCTCTGCATTTAATAATGTGGTTATTTATGGATTGCATAGCATTCACAACTGGTTGAAGAATACCATAATATCCTGCAACTATGCTCATACAAATTATAAAAACGCTTCTACCAGCTGCACTATGTAACTGGAATGCAAGTTTCCTTGTGGCACCATTTCCCTCCACGCTCAACTTTTCTATTTCTTCAACTATTTCACACTTTTTGAAATCGCTAATACTTTGGACACTTTTCTGTCCAACGAGTCTCACAAAATGAATGTAGTTACATTAGGACCGTATTTTCTGCGAGTAACTGACTCTTTGAAAAAATGTATTTTATATTTGATAGTCGTATTTCGGGGACTGAATTCAGGTCATTGACCACCAAATTCAGTCTATGACTGGCGCAATGAAAATATAAACTTTTTGTATATGTTTGTTTTACAATTTTTTGTACACCACCTTTCGTTGCTCACCCATCAAAACCTAGTCCTACACATTTTGCGGGATCCACATCTAACTGTGTAACAAAACCATTGATATTTGCTCCTATTGTGTCTGCATCCATCGATGGTAATTGCACAAATTCAACAAAC